ATCCTGAGGGCCTGCGACGACGAGGTGGCCTTCGGGGACGGGCTGGTGGCCCCCGACGGGCGCAGCTCCTCCGAGGACTCGTCCCCCGAGGCCGACCTGCAGTTCTCCAAGAAGTTCCTCAATGTCTTCGTCAACAGCACCTCGCGCTCCTCCAGTAAGTGGCGGCGTCGCGACGCGTCGCGACGCGTGGCGGCGTCACCCGGGCCGGGCCGTGTGATGCTGGCGCGTCGCCTGCCCTCCGTGTCCTGCCCCAGCCGGTCCCCGTACCCTGTGGTGGTACGTCGCGGCATGTCGCGATATGTCGTGGGATGTCGCGATATGCCGTGGGATTTCGCGATATGTCACGGCATGTCGTGGTATGTCACAGCATGTCGCGATATGTCACGGCATGTCATGATATGTCACAGCATGTTGTGGTATGTCATGGGATGTCGTGATATGTCATGGCATGTTGGGGTATGTCACGGCATGTCACGCGATATGTCACAGCATGTTGTGATATGTCACAGGATGTCACGATACGTCACGGCATGTCACGCGATATGTCATGGCACATCGTGATATGTCACGGCATGTCACAGTACGTCACAGCATGTCATGATATGTCACGGCATGTCACGATATGTCACCGCATGTCACAACATGTCATGGCATGTCACGGGATATGTCACAGCATGTCACATGATATGTCACGTGATATGTCACAGCATGTCACACGATATGTCACGTGGTATGTCACGGCATGTCACACGATATGTCACGTGGTATGTCATGGCATGTCACACGATATGTCACTGCATGTCGCGACATGTCATGCCGTGCTGTCCCGGCTCTTCTCACACCAGCTGCCCTCCCTGTCCTGTCCCATTCCCATGTCACGATGGTGTCATGATGGTGTCACCATGTGTCACGATGTGTCACGATGGTGTCACGATGGTGTCGTGATGTGTCACGATGTGTCACGATGTGTCACGATGGTGTCACGATGTGTCACGATGTGTCACGATGTGTCACGATGTGTCATGATGGTGTCACGATGTGTCACGATGTGTCACGATGGTGTCATGATGTGTCACGATGGTGTCATGATGTGTCACGATGGTGTCACGATGTGTCACGATGTGTCACGATGGTGTCATGATGGGTCACGATGTGTCACGATGGTGTCACGATGTGTCACGATGGTGTCGTGATGTGTCACGATGGTGTCACGATGGTGTCACGATGTGTCACGATGTGTCACGATGTGTCACGGCATGTTGTGACATGGCACGGGGATGAGGCAGATGCACAGTGACCACAGTGACCTGTGGGGGTGGCAGTGTCCCCCATAGGGTTGGCAGCTGTCCCCTGCATCCCTGCCATGGCTGTCCCCTGTCCCCGTGGGGGTGGCACTGTCCCCATGGAG